ACACAATAACCTGTCTCACCCCTAGAAGATCAACTCCTCTGCCCAATACTCCTGTAGCCACAACCACGGGAACTTCTCCAACCAAAATGACCTTAAAATTTCTCTTCTCTCCTTCATGGGCTTCTCTCCATGGATCGATAGAGCTTTCACCCAGTGGTGACTGTTACTGCTTCGGAGAGGAGATCTGCACCAAGTCTTGAACCCACAAATACTACAAGTGGTGGCCTAAAATGCTGCTTGCTCATCAATATGTCAAAAAGCTTTTTCTTTTTTTGCTTTGACTCCACCCAAATTGGCAGCTGCTTCACAGCCACATTAGGTTTGTTTGGCTTCCCAATGGAAACAACAGTTATATCTTTCGCCATTGAGCTTGCCAGCTTCTCAACTACCTTTGGAATTGTTGCAGAATACATCAAGACTTGGGGTTGAGATAAAGCCCTAAATATCTGCATTACTTGCTCGTGGAATCCCCTTTGAAGCATGCAGTCCACTTCATCAAGAACAAGAATTGATATTGCATCTAATTCTATATCATACTTGATTAAAAGATCAATCAGCCTTCCTGGAGTTCCAACAATCAATGACACTCCCTGCTGGATGCGGTGGATTTGTCCAGCCATAGCATCACCACCAACAACTAGTGCAGTTTTAAAGGGTAAACCCTTTCCAAGCAACTTGGCTTGCCCCTCTACCTGTATGCAGAGCTCTCTAGTTGGAGAAAGTATCATTGCTAATGGTTTTTTCTCAGTTGGTAACTGCCCACAGTGAATCTTTGCACAGTATGAAACTATAGGAACCAAAAAGGAACAGGTTTTTCCTGAACCAGTCTCAGCTGAAACGAGCAGGCTTTGGCCAATCAAAGCAGCTGGGATTGCTTGCATTTGGACCGGTGTCGGCATCTCATATCCAGCAGCTTCTATGTTTTGGAGGAGCTTCTGAGGAAGACTGCAAGAAGTGAAAGACAAGACGGGTGCCGGAACAGAGCCACCCCTCACAGAGATTTCTAGTTTTCTCCTGAGTGATTCAGTCTGGTCATTAGTTAAAGATCGAGTTTCTGAATTATCATTTGCATCTCTGACATAAAAACACTCATCAGTTGTGGGTAATCTCATAGGTGGTGGGCGATCAACCAGTGACACTGACTTGGCAATCCTACATAGGAGAATTTTCTTACATTCCAGGCTGCAAATGTCATCCTCAGTCTCATCACAAACATATTCCCCGTAGCGGCCACATACAACACATCTAGGTTCCCCTGGCAGGGCTTCTCTCTGATGCCAACACCGTTCCTTCACATCATCCTCTGCAGCAGACACTATATTAACAAATATGTAAGTTTGTGGAATGCTAATTGCAGTGCAAGGTAATTCTTGGAATGCCAAAATAGAATAAGTTGGATTTTTAAATCATAAGCACGAAAGTGAAGTAAAAGAATATTGGTTGTCATACTGAAATCAAGTGAAGAAGGAGGACCCATGTCTTGTTTGAACCAACCAACTCATTAACAACCAGAGAGATATTCATATAAGGCAATCATCCAGATTTACTAACATATGCAACAAATTACTATTGGCCTAGAAATAATATAACATAATCTGAATCAAGAAGTTCGGACCAAAAAAAAAGAGAGAAAAACACTAGTTAAAAGCATATTGGCTCAAATGTGATGCACTCTGAAAACAAAAGAAATGGACTCATGGTGGAGGAGAATTTAAGAATAATAATGGTTGGAGTTCAGCTGTATTACCTGGGACTTCATTACCAGCCACTGCTATTATCGAACTTTCACATTGGTTAGCCTTGTCCCCGTTTCCCATGGTTTGAACTTGATACAAGTCAAAAACAGTAGGGCACTAGAATCATTTGAGTACGACCAGTTCTAAGAACTGCAATAAATATGTAGAAAAGAAGAGCCAATGAATATATGACTTTACTTACCAAAAAAAAAATATGTGACTTTACATAACCCCAAAATAAACAAAGTATATGACTTCCCAAATGCAGATGATTACATAGTCTAGAAGATTCCATAACCTTTACATAAATTGCTGATCTAGAAGTCATTGCTAAATGACAGATACTGTGTTTTAGCCCAATACTAAACAGGAAGAGAGGTAAAGAAAAGTCACACTGAACTTCCATTCATGCAACTTTACATTCATGCAAGCACAAATTAGTAGAGAATAATAAAACCAAAATAATAAACTATTATAAAACCAGAACAATTAATTCAATATGGCAACAAATTTCATTCAAACAAAAATACGAATGTAATTTGTAAACCCAAATTCCAAGTCAACCTTGTGTTAGCCCAGATCAAAGCGATTAAGAACAAAAATAAAATAAAACCCTGGACTTCAAACTTGTCTATAATACTGAAGGTAAAAAAAACGTTGCTTCTTCATACCCCATACTTACACCTCATCCAAAAAACTTCCTACTTTAAACAAACAAATGTCCTTGAAAATATCTCTACATTGTCCAACCCGGTTGCACCTTAAAGTAGCAGATGATGAAGCACAATGCTAAGAGGACAAGGAGACTGGTCGTTCCTAAGCACCATTCATTCTCCATGTATCCTCACACAAGCAGTTTTACCATACACAACAATAACGTGAAGCCCAAAACTTTGGCATCTTTGTTCTAAGAAGCACGGATACATCACAACACGAATATGCAGACACGACATTTGTTTAAAAAGTAGGAAGGGACACGGTGTAAATATGCTATAGATAATTGTGTTTTATATATAAAGTTACATAATTTATCACAAATAAAGTAAAAATGATATATTATGCATTAAAATTTTAGTACTTTATGATAAGTAATGTTATGTCTAGTTCACACTAGTGTAAATTTTAAGACTAACATCATAATATCCAATAATCATCAATTTTTTCGTAGACGTGTACCATACATATATAATTTAAATGATTGCTTTTTTTAAAATTTTGTATGTTTCTTTTATTATTTTTATTATATTTTAAGTACAACTTTAACATGTCTAGTCTTCGTAATTATATGTTCTCATAGTATAAGATTAAGTAGTCAAATTTTTAAGCTTTATTAACCACATGTGACAATACATGTTTATTGTTTACTAGTAGACATAGCTTAAAGAAGTGTTGGAAACGTCACCAAATAAGTGTCTGACACGTATGTCAGAGAATATCCGAAGAGTGTCGGTGTCCAACACGTATACGTCTCCTTCTTCAGAGTGTCCATGCTTCATAGTCTTTGCTCAAGCAAGCCATGTGACAGTTGAAAACTCTAATACACATCCAAAAATTTAGATTGCTCCTTATTAAATTCAAATGAGTTCTTCAACCAATTTTGTGCCCTCAAGCAATTGTTCAAGTGCGGGTGCTCAAAGCTTAAGAATGTGATAAGCTTAAATGATCCCAAATCAACTACTCAAGTAGTTCAGACCAACTATGCAAATCGCATTGGCCTTTTAGTCTTGATATTACGTGTACATGATGACAATTTAATTAGTAACTTGCAACAAGTGAATGAGGACTCCCCACTTGGCATAATTTAAAAAACAATACCATCAAATTCTCATGCATTCAGGACCCCAATCCTCTCTCTTTCTTTCATAGCATTGCATTAGCTCATGAGTTATGAAGCACAAACATGGATACGAGATATGAAGACACAAGAAATTAATACATGAAAGTCATTATTTTAAGTTAAAAAAAATCTTATATCCAATGTTCAAGTATAAATTTTGAACAAATAAATCATTGTAATCAATAATCACCGATGTTATAATTTTCTCTTCTTCCCAAGCCATATTTTTAAACAAAATCTTTATGTTTCTTCTGTTTTTTTGAATAAATTTCAACACCATTAGCCTAACAATTAAACTTTTTTCCAGGATATAATCACCAAAATTACTTTTTCAATACGAAAAACAAAAATGTTCACATTTGACACAGATTTGTCACTTTTTTAGAAATATCCGTGTTGTTAGCTCACGACAATAAATATGTTGCAGTTACGCCAAAATAGTAATGCACTGGAAAGATAATATATTTAATAGAATTTTGAACTCACACTACTTGCGCTCCCCTTCCACATGAGAACTGTTTCACCACTTCACTACAATAAAGCTGACCTCTCAATACATTTATCTTTCTCATTTTCGGCTATCCTCATCTTTGCAACACCTCCAAGCTGAATATTCCTTTGTTAACACTTCCAGACACTGGTTTCCTATTGCACTTGACCAAAGATTGTTGATGGGTTGTTATATCGCGAGTCTCAAACATTTAGTGTTAACTTCAACTTCACAAAACTATATTGTTTTCTAATCCATCATCTGCTTATCGGTCCAAAATCCAAGCATCAGTTTCAAATTATTTACACATACATCGATTAATTCTTTTAGCCAACCCAAGGTGGTTTGCTGGCATTTTTAACAGTAAATATTCAACCCCACGAAGCAGAACCAGTTTTATAGCAATACAAAACAATATAACTTGCACAAGCAGTAGCCAATGGCCAAAATAAAGCTGGGAAGTTCTGTTCTGTTCTATATTCTTTTTCGATTCAATGGGCAACATACAGTTCTGATCTTGCTTCCTAAAGCTTAAACAATTGTCACTAGCACTCTAGTATCTAATTGCTCAAACTATCATTGATGTAGCACTGACCAAATGGTTTAGGCTGGCTGCTGGTCACCTAATGTGACTTCCTTTATCTATATATATATATATATATAGAGAGAGAGAGAGAGAGGGAGAGAGTGCATAGCGATAAGATACCAAATTTGGCATGTGGGTCAGACTCATAGCGCATAAGTCATTTGATCAAACGCCAAACCCTAGAGGCTACCAGCACAGACATTGGTCTGAGCCTGCCCAGAGCACCATTATTTTTGGATTGGTACAGTAGTAAGGGAATTACCTAGATGCCAGAAACTAGAACAAAACAAGGCCATAAAACAAATAAAATTCAAAATTTCCACATAAATTCACAGGTACATACTAGTTGATTCACTGGAATTAGGGGCCAACACAAACTTGTTTTTTGAATGAACCTTTTCTGGTTCAAAAAAGAAAAAAAAGAACTTTCCATATAAGTAATTGGGTTGAGTCACACAATTCAAGAAATGAACCCAGATAAATACTACGGTCATTATTCAACTATATACATTCAAATTATGCATATATATATATACTAGTTATTGCCCGTGCCCGTGTCTGAAGGTATTGTACGACAAAAAAAAATCAAATAATAAAAATGAGCATTAGCAAGAGAAAAAAGCGGTGCACATAATGATAACAATAAATATTTAGAGCCGATGAATATATAAAAAATGTACAAAATTACCTCTAAAAACATAACTCAAAAAATTTAAACATATACACAGTTTACATATTTTATCATTGTACCTTAAAAAACTATTACTCATTACATATTATTAATTTGCCCATAGTAGTAAAAAAAATTAATTAAGATGCATATCAAATAAAAGAATGCTTTTTGAGATCAAATAACCACTCTCTCCATATGGTTAAAGTGCAAATCCTCATTCTCAATCAACTTGATCTTGCATATAACTATTATTTTTCAAATACAAATGCACCCCATAGAAATAGATATAAAAGAAATTACGAAGAATCAAAGCATTCAAGAGCCTGTCGAAAAAATTGCTCGAAAATAACATTGATTCTTTAAATAACTTGAATTCCAATAAGTTCCAGGCATTAAAAGTGTACCCAACAAACTATTGAAGCACTATTGCATTTGAAGTAATTAAAATAATTAAAACCAAACCCCCTCCCCTCTCATTTCTCTCTCTTACCTCAAAACTCCCAAACCCACATATTCATTGGCAACAAAATTGAAACAAAATGCAACAAACCGAAGTGGTCAAGAATATCATAGTATGAGTACATCGAACCCAATCTGTAATTGCACGATTCATTTGTGATTGTACTTATTCTGCATCACTATCCTGAATGTCCGTGCATCAATACGTATGCGATACTGCAAGTTAGGTGATTGCACAACCACCTAGTTTTTTAGAAAGAGAAAAAAAATATTGGTCAAATATATTACTTAAAAAAATTGCATACTTCATTGCAACAATATAAGATTTCAGTTGTGGTGTAATTAGTTGTGTTAAACATAAAACCAAAGTTTAAGAAAAGAGCATTGTAGTTAGAAACAATGACCTTCCATAAGTTACTTAATAGAAGATTTTTCAATTTATGCACTTAGAAAAATATAGGCCACGTACATAACCAAAAAACTGGACATTAGCATGAGAAAAATGACTCACTTAATGCATTTAGGAGACTTCGTTTTCATGAAAAAATTCAAATGCACAAAAAAACAATTCAAAAGAGAAGTCATACAATAGTACAAATAAATGATATAGGCAAAAATAGCAACATAGCAAGAACAAAAAGTAAAAAATAGGCCCATATACTAATTTTTGTGAACTGAAGCAATCATTTAAACTCAAACATAACTTGAAGACCAAAAGACCCAAGTTTATAATGCACTAAAAGATTGTCTTCTAATTTAAAGCCAAAAAAGAGAAAGAACAAACTAAAAATCAAGGCTATAAACACAATTTCATAAAATATTAGGCAAACATAACAATCAAGGCTATAAACCCTCTGTACCACCCCTTACATAACCAAAGAGTAAATAAATGTACCAAATAGCCTTTCACTTGCCTGAATCCTTCAATTACACATGAAATAGTTCAAACCCACTTCTAAAAAGCTAAAAAAACATTACATTAGAGGCCATTAAAATAAGCAAAATTATTCAAATCACAGTCCTATTCAATCTTCAA